GCACTGGTGTCCAGGGCGGTACAGGGACCAGCACTGATGGCCAGGGCGGTACAGGGACCAGCACTGGTGGCCAGGGTAACCCAAGCAGTGACACTGGTGGCCAGCCTGACAACCACAACAATAGTGATAAGCAGAGCAAAGACCAGGACAGCAAAAACAGCCAGGATGGCAACCAGCCAGGCAGCCCCGGGAGGGAGGGCACCAAGGAGAACAGCAGTGACAAAAACAAGGCTGGCACCAGCAAGAGCAGTGATGACAACGGCCACGAAAACACAAATCTTAGCAACACTCAGGACAGTGCCAACAACGACCCGGGCAGCAGTGACAGGAACAGGGCTGGCACCCAGGGCAGCGAGGCCAGCAATGGGCACACAAACGGGGGCACCAGCCAAGGCAGCAGTGGTGGGCAGCAGGCTCAGACTGAGAGCCAGGGCACTGCTGGTGGCAAGCAGCCTCAGAGCCAGGACAATCCAGACAACTCCCAGGAGGACCAAAACGCTGTGGCACACTCCACTGTGGAGGGCGAGAGCTTTGTGAAAAATGAAGAAATCACTGCAGAGGACGTGGCCAATGCTGAGGAGGGCAGGGACAGCTCCTTGGACCAGGACAGAGGAAAGAGTGTTCCCTCTCTGCCCAGGGCTCACTCGGAGAACAGCCACTTCTTTGCCTATCTGGTGACCACAGCTATCATCGTTGCAGCCCTGTACGTGGCTTACCACAACAAACGCAAGGTGAGCGGCCCTTCTCAAACCCTGAGGGCTGGGATTGGGACCCGGATGGTTTCTCACCAGTATCTCCTAGTTTGGTTCATGTTCATGTGGTCCCACAGCAGTGGGAAGGAAGGGGATCGGATCTGGTGGAAACTGGGTGTTCTCAGCTCTGCTGCTGATTTTCAGCCAAGAGGTGAAGGGGTGTGAGATCCCTATATCGTTTCTCTGACAGTTTCCTACTGGCAGTTTTCTGTAGCAGATTGCACAAGATTGGTGTTGTGTTTCCCCACATAAAGCTGGTTTTGAGGGAAGAGAAGGAAAACAAATTCTTACTGTTTTCTACTTGTTGAGCAAACCTTATTATCTATCTTAGCTGGGGTCGAGTACTGGCATTTACATATTTCAAGTGCTCGATCACAGGAAAAGGGTTGCAGGAGCAGGTGAATGAAAAACCACAGGTGAGCCTGTGTAGGAAGCTGCTGTTCCACTCACCCTGTCTCAATTTTTCTCTCTCCAAAGATCATTGCTTTTGCTCTGGAAGGAAAAAGATCAAAAACTGGTCGAAGGCCCAAATCTGGTGATTATCAGAGACTGGATCAAAAGGTGAGACTCGGCCCAAAGTGGGGGTTGGCATGCCTGGTGTGTGTTGGAAATACAAAATATTGGCCCTTTGCATTAGGAAGGGCCCCAACTCAGTCAGTTTGGGAAAGCACAGTTTAGTGTTGAAACAGGGTTTTGCCAGGAAATGGAAAAAGTAAGACAGAGAATTGCTGGCAGAACTTACCCAGGGCACAGGTGGAACAATCTCGAGCTGGGCTGTGCTGAATGGCTTTGTCACTGATCCAAATGACTTGTCAGAGAGGATTTTAGTGGGAGAAGGATAGGATCTGTGGAGAAATCCCTTTCTTCTCTGCCTTGAAACCTTTTTCCACCTCTTGCCTTTCAAGGCAGATGTGCCTGTAGTTACTTTCTGCCATAGGAAGAGGAAAGGTAGGAAAACAAAGACAAGAGCTTGTGTTTGCTTTGGTAGCTTCTCAGCCCCCACAAGTCTGGACAGAGCAGCAGAGTAATTCTGAGCTTTGAGGTAGTTCCAACCTTTCCTTTTGCCTTTCCAGATCTAGATTCCTCCTCAGATGATGACGGCCGCTGATGGGAATGCAGTGCTGCCACAGTTGGATTTCAGTCCATGGGAAGGAGAGGAAACGCTTTTTGTTTTGCACCTGCACCTTGATAAAACTTCTCACTTCCCTAGATTGCTCCTTTCCCAGCTGCCTTGTTTTTCCCCTGGGCATCTGGCTGCTGGAAAAGCCAGTCCTAGAACTGCACACCTAGAACTTCTGTGTCCCAATGCAATGGAATTTGCTATCTGCTGGACTGACCCCTCCTTTTGGGGGGAAAATTAAGGATCTGCTGCACAATGAGCCATGGGACTGTTCCTTGCCTGGGAACGAAGCTGCTTTGGTCTCCTCCTCCCCCTCTGTTCTCCATCTGTTGGGTTTGGATACTCAGGTTGGGAGCATGTGAGTTCTCTTGCGCTTGTTTGGAATTGACCCACCACAGACTCGGATTTGGGTTTTCTCTCCCTGATCAGTTTTCCAGTTCCACACCCAGATTCCCTTGTTCACACATGCTTTTGGCCATGCTGAAGCAGTTTTTGCGGTGTAGCTCAAAACCTTCATGCTCTATGCAGGTCTTTTCTCTCCCAGTCCTCCCAGTTCAGCTGTTTGCACTGGGGGTGTTGGTTGTGGTGTGGTGCTGAGGAGGACGGCGTCAGGCTGTGGAAGCTCCATGCCCTGCCAGGGTCAGGAATTCAAATGGGAAGGTTGCTTCCTCCCTCTTGTCAAGTGTAGGAAGGAAGGAATGTAAATCTCTGAGGAGTTTGGGATGAGTGACGCTCCCAATCCCTCCAGTTTTGTTGGACTGGTACTGGTCAGACTAAAGGCTGCCAAAGACATTGATGCCCCAGTTACACCTGTGAGGTGGTTTTCGTTCCTGTAGTTCCTCTCCCCAGAGGTTTGTTCAAGCTGAGATGTTTCTGTAGAGGGCACAAAGTACCTGCTTGGCTCCTGCTTTGGATTTTCCCAGGATAGGCAAAAAAAAAAACGGATTTGAGGAACCCAGAGGTCCTCACATGGGCACCCAACTGTGCCAGTCCCGCACTTGACGACTGACTGCACGGGAATAATCCCAGGATGGTTAAATTCCCTCCTGTGGGGCTTTTTTCTGGCCTTCCCAGGCTTGGGGACAATCAGCTCCTTGCCCTGTGGTCACCTTGGACAAGGGCAGAGCCATTTTCTGGTCACTGTGAAAGCTGCAGCTCTTGTTTTGATTTCCTAGTAGTTCATTCCAAGAGGGGAGAGAGGACTTGACCTTCTCCAAACCCTGAAATCATCCTTTCCCTTTTTGCTGGCTCTTTGCAAGCACGAGGAGCATGAGAGTCCCTCTTGGCTTTAAAGAGTTGTCAGAGTTTCCCTAGGAAACATCTAGGATGCTAAAAGGAGTTCCAGTAGTTGTTTTGGAGAACAGGAGGGTGGAGGGAAGGGAAACAGGGCTGGGAATGTAACTCTCGGAGAGAAGGGTGGGAACATCCTGCACCAAACCACCCTGCTCCAGAGCTCCTGTGGGATCAGCCAGGCTAGGGGGGCTGCTTTAGGGCAGGGTTGGGGAGGGGACACTGGCTTTTGGCTGGTGATAGCAGGGAGGCAAACCCTATTCCAGTGTGTGGAATTCCGTGTGTTTCTGGGCTGCTCCGGCCAGGCTTTTTGGAGTGTGTGGGCTTTTTGGAGTGTGAGTGCTCTATTCTTGCTTTGTCCTGTTGTTTGTCTATCTTTTTTTTTTTTTTTTTAATTGAATGGTAATTTAGATTTTTTTTTTTTTTTTGGCCATCTACTTATTTTTNTTTTTTTTTTTTTTTGGCCATCTACTTATTTTTCTATCCTGGGAGCTGTTTCAAATCCTCCCTTGCTCCAAGCTGTGGGAATCCCACCCTGCTGCCAATAGGGGAGGGAATATTTTGGACCTCAAACACCTCGATCCCAGGTTGAGCCAGGCACAAGCTCTTCAGGGTAATGAGGACACACCTCACAGCTCTGGGAAGCACTGGGTGTGGGGAGAGGCAGATCTCACACCAGGCTGAATTGGGGGGTTTTCCTCCAAAATCTCCCTGCCAGCACTTCCCAAGGCTGGTGTGTTCTACCAACAGTCCGGGCTGCCCCAAAGCTCTGGGAATTGCTCCCAGTTTCTTGAGTTTTATGGTGTTCACGTGACGTATCCCAAAGCGGTCAAGGTGCAGAGAACCTTTCCCTTTGGACATGCATGTTTTCCATGGATGGTGTCTGTTGGTACAGAGGGGCTTTTTGCCAAATACTCCTACTTTTTTGGGCTTGAACCAGCACATGATTTGTTTTCTGCTGCAGTGAAATGCACTTTGCTTGGAACGATCAGAATTTTTTACAGTTCTTTGTACATTTTTTTATTTCCTGTGTGGTGAAATCAGTAAATGGATTTTTAAAGACCCAAGAAAGGTTGAGTTTTCACTTCTCTCTTGGTTTTGTTTTTGTCATGTTTTTTGCATGGTTTTCATTGACACCTGGCACCAAAGGTGCATAGTGGCTCCTCTTTATGCAAAACAATTCGATTTTGATAAAAACACCTGTTTTTGTGGAACTGTTTGTGCTCAGAGCTCCGTGTGCAGCCGGAAGGAGCCTAGACAGGCCCAGGCCAGAGCGGATTTGAAGTTTCCAGTCTGCTTTCCAGGGCCCAGTATCAGCCCAGTTCCACGGGGGCTAGCACTGGGTGATGTGAGGTCAGGGCCCAAGAGGAGATTAAACTGCTCTGAACAGAGCTTAGTCGTGAGCTCTCTTCTTGGATTTCTTCTTTCTCCTCCAGAGAGCCCCAGAGGGCAATCCCGGGACATCTCAGCTTGTTGGAGCAGCAGCAGCTGGGAGATGGGAAAGAGAGTGGTGTGGCTGCTGCTGCTGCCAGCCACCTGTGGAACGGGAAGAGGAGGTGCCCGATCCCAAGCACACGGTGAGGCTACTTCTGCAGAATATTTCCTGCAGAGAATGGAAGAAACTCCCTCCTTTTCCCTAAAAGGAGGAAATCCCGCCTTCCATTCCCTTTCAGTCCCGACAGTGGCTAATAGGCCAGGCTGGGAACAGGGAGGGCCACTGGTTTCCCTGGGCCCTCCTAGGGAACTGACTGGGGTTACTGACAATTTGCAGGAGGAAAAAAGGGTGAAAATGGGGGATTAAATGAAGAATCTTGTGGGGATGTGCGGTTACAGACCCTCCAGTTTCAAGCCTTGCTGCAAGGGGCTCAAAGCACTGCTCTGCTCTGTGTCCTTAGGGTGATTTCCCAAAAAAACCCCACTGCATTGTGCTTCAAGGGCTCCCTGAATCCCTTACCTGCTCTCACCCTGATCTGAGAGGGCTGGAAAGGCCCTAGAATACTTTGGCAGGCAGAGTAGGTGTAGTGGGGCAGGAACAGCCCCTCAGGTCAGGTCCTGTCCCTGGGTGCAGGAAGCAGTGGGAGTGTCCCAGGGGTGGGGAGTGCCCATGGGGTCATGCCCGGGAGTCAAAGTCCAGGAGTGCAAATAATGTCAAATAAAATCAGAAATGCTTTGCCAGCTGGGTTGGTCTCTCCTTATTGGGGCTGGATTGCTGAGACATTCCGATAGAGGCAGTTTAGCAGAGAAGCCCGCAGGGTGCAGGAGGTTTCATGCATGAGAAACTGGGCACTGGACTGGGGGCTGGGCTTGGATCTCTGCCCTTCAACCCTCCTGCTCCTGCACTGGAGAGTGCTGCCAGCTGGGGCTTGGGCTCTGCTCCTAGGGAACAGGGACAGGACAAGAGGAAATTACCTCAAACTGTGCCAGGAGAGGTTCAGGTTGGATATTGGGAAGATTCCTCTAAGGAAACAGCAGTTCAGGCCTGGCACAGCCCAGGGCAATGCTGGAGTCCCCATCCTTGGGAGGATTTAGCAGCTGTGTAGATGTGGTACATGGGGACATGGGTCAGGGGTGGCTTTGGCAGTGCTGGGGGAGCAGTTGGACTTGATGGTCTCAGGGCTTTTCCAACCCAAATGATTCCATGGTTTTGTGAAATGCTATTACGTCCACTCCCTGACCTCAATGAACCCAACCTGCAAACCATGGTAACCACATCAGGTTTATTTTATCTTCTTTTGCTGGAAGCTTTGAATCTTGCACGGCCTCCTGAGCAAACACATGAACCTGAGCTGATCTCACAGCAGGTATTTTCCTTACGGGCAGGACACTAGCTAAGTACACACATCAGCTTTGCCTATGTAAGACAGATTCCATGGCCTGGGAAGGCTTGTTTGGATTTGATAAACCACCAAAATGATTGAGATGGCATTTGCAAGGTTGGAGCTCTTTGGGTTGAGAAAAGCAGGAGGAGAGGCAGGTTTGGGTCTCCTCGGAGCTGTGGGAGCCATGGGGATGCTGCTGGGGGGAAGGTTGGGTGTCACTGCACTGTTCTGTGCCTAAGTCAGCTGGTTTTGCTCTGCAGAGTTCCCTGGGAAGAGGACCTGGCTTGTTAAACCCTCCCCCCAACAGCTCTGGTGCTTCTAGGTTGAACTGCTCACCTTCACAGAGGAATTTTTGGGTGGTATTCCTGTAACTTGTCCCTTTCTCTCCATGTGTGACAGGGAACAAGCTGCTGCTGGTCACCCCTCAGGTTTTCCCCCTCAGGACCCCTCTGTCCTGAGAAGAACAGATGTCTCCAACAGGTTGGGAGTGAGGCAGGGCTTCGGTGCCCACCCTCCAGGACCCTGCAGGAATGTGGGGAAAGGATGCACAGCCTGCAGGGTGAAAGGAAGGAAAAGAACACTGGCTGTGCTCTGGCCCTGCTTCGTCCTATTTTTACTGCAAAAGGAAACTCTTCTGGCTGATATTGGTATATTAGGGCCTCTTCCTTACTTGCGCTGCAGGTGAACATCACTGTGGTCCAGGGAGGGATGGGAAGGTAGTCAGAGGTTCCACCTGGATCAGCCTCCAGGTCTGCACTGTCACACTCCACAGCCTGTGGGGAGAAGGGCCACCTTGAGCTCCCCCACTTATGCTCTCTGGGGGCCTTGGGGTTTCCCTGGAGGCCTCTAACCCCAAACAAGAATCCATGGCTTAGGAGGGACCTTACAAACCACCCAATCCCATCCCTGCCTTGGGCAGAGACATCTTCCACTGTCCCAGCCTGCTCCAAGCCCCGTCTAGCCTGGCCTTGGACAATTCCAGGGATCCAGGGGCAGCCACAGCTTCTCGGGGCAACTTCACCAGGTGCCAGGGCCTCCTCACCTTCACAGTGAAGAATTTCCTCCCAATATCCCATCCATCCCTGCCCTCTGGCAGTGGGAAGCCATTCCCTGTATTCTGTCCCTAGTCCCTCTCCAGCTCTCCTGGAGCTCCTTTAGGCTCTGGAAGGGGCTCTGAGCTCTCCCTGGAGCCTTCTCTTCTCCAGGTGAACATTCCCAGCTCTCCCAGCCTGGTTCCAGAGCAGAGGGGCTCCAGCCCTTGGAGCAGCTCCATGGCCTCCTCTGGACTCACTCCAGAAGCTCCACACCCCTCTGGTGTTGGACCCAGAGCTGGAGGAAGCTCTGCAGGTGGGGTCTCACGTGGGCTGCAGGGCTGCAGCTGCTGGAGGTGCCCAGAGCAGTCTCCTCAGTTCACTGCTGTGCCCAGGGCACACCAGCGTGGATTCCCCAGGGGGTTAACTCTGGGTGATCTCTTTGCAGAGCTCACCTTCTCTGTAAATTCCATCCCATCACTGAATTATCTCTTTGCTCAGTGATCTAATCCTCTTTGCCAGATCAGCCTTCAAGCCTCTTTCCAGGGCTCCTTTCCAGCACGGTCACACTATTCCCTGCTCAGTCACACTGCTCCCTGCTCAGGAACTAGCTCTGGGGTTTATTTTTCTCCTACTCCATCAGCAGCTCACATCTGGGCTTCTCCCAGCCTTGCCCCGGGGTGATGCTGTCCCCAAACATCACTGTGATTGGACTTCAAGTCAACTTTTATGAATTCATTGACATCCAGTTGGTGTCTGGGAGGAATATTTGCTCCCAGTGATGTCCTGTGTCGTGGCATACAGTGTGATTTCAGCCCCAGCAGTCCAAAGAGTACAAACCACTGGGAGACATGGGGACACGGGATGACCGAGGCTGTACCCTGAAGGAGAGACACCTGTAGGGATGGTGGGGGGCTGCAGTGAGCAAGGAGACTTCAAGATCAGTGAAAGCATCAAAAAAGAGGCATGGAGCATAAAAGAATTGGGATGGAGGGCTGTGGTGGGAAGCTGGGAAGTGAGGAAAGGATCATGGAGGGAACAAAACCCACAGTTAAACCAGCAGTTCAAAACCTCATGCTGTGCCAGTCCAATATTGCCCAAACCCAGCAAAATGTGGGGAAATTCTCACCCAGAAGCTGCTTTACCTGGACAAAGATGTTTCAGGGAATTTTGGTGAGCACTGGGCACTTCTCCTGTGATCAAATCTGGAAAACCTGTGTCAGTTTCATGGGCTTTGAGCCACAGCCCAAGGTGCCCTGATGCTCACCAAGGATTTACTGTGCTCACAGCAGTACTCCCCAGTACTGGGAATTCCTTCTTCCCATGGCTGTCAGCTCCAAGGAGGTGGGAGGTAAATCCACATTGGCCAGCTGGTTTTCCTCACTTGGGTTCCAAATTTATGGCTGTTCTGCCATTATTCCTCCCCAAAACTTGGCTAGGGCAGGACAAACCCCCAGCAACACGTTCACAATGTGATGGGGCTGTCCCTTCCTCTTTCCCTTCTTGTTCCACTTTCCATTCTGCCTTCCCTTCCCCTTCTTTTCTCCCTCAAAACCCCCAGCCCCATTGACCCATCATGAGGTACAAATCCCAGGATCATTATTACTATTTTATTACTTCCAGTCTCACGTGCTTCCCTTTCCATCTGGAGAGGACTTTGATCCTGTTCCCAAGCTTTTACCAGCAGACAGAAGGACTTTGTTGCTGCTAAAGGCGCGTGTGCGTGTGCCACGGATACCTTGGGGCAATGCGGGGAGAGCAGCACCCAAACATTGGGAATACTGGGGAGCTAGGGTCCTGCTGCTCCCAGGAATGATTCTGGAAGCACTGGACAGCCTGCAAGTGCCACTGCTCTCAGACAGCTCTGGGGCTGCAGGTGGAGGTCAGTGATCCCAATGGGATCAGGCAGCTGCTGGTACCATGGGAGCTGCTGGGTCATGCTGGTACCTGCTGGTGCCACCTGTTTTGGGGTTATCTTGACTTCTCTCCTGGCCACGACAGCTCTTGGAGATTCCCTTCATGGCCAGGGACCAGTGCTGGACATCATGGTGGAAGGGGATGCATTTTTTGGTGGGGGTGAGATCCAACACAATCTGTCTGGGAATGGGAACAGCATCTTCCTGGATTGAAATCCCTCGGTGTGGCATAGAGATGGATCTGCTACAGGTGCATGACAGCTGAGAGTGAGGTGGGGGTGATGTGGTGGGGAGCAGGGGTCCATGGTGCTGGGACAGCAAGCTTTAGTCTCCCTTCTTGGAGTTGGTGGCCTGCAAGCGCATCTTCAGCCGCGCCACGTCCACATAGAGGTTGCGCTTGAGGATGGTGCTGGCGCAGATGAGGGCTCCTTGCAGGGCTCCCATGAAACCCCCCAGGCACAAATCCTGTCCTGAAAGGAGGGAGCAGCAGATGTGGTCCCCTTGTGAGCAGCCCTCACTCCCCATTTCATCTCAGCCAACCATCAGTGGTGGTTTGGGCATCACCTTCTCCACCTTCCAGCTGCCCCCACACCATCCCTGGGGTCTGAACTCACAACCCCCTACCTGTCTGACCTTTCCTTGTCTCAGCAGGAAAAAGGCCTCATCCTTCCCCATTATGCACTGGGCAAGGAGAAAACTCCCAGAGCTGGAGGAGCACAGCTCTTTCCTCCTCCCCTTGGGACCATGGAACTCTGCTTTTCCAGGCTTTATTCCATTGCCCCACAGTGGCTCTTCCCTTTATACCATTTCAGGATTTAAGGTTTTCTCCCCCCTACCCCGCTCCCCCAGAGCTATCCTCATCTGAGGACGCTAGTGGCCCTGTCACCTGTCAGGTAGAGGCCAGGCACAGCCGTCTCTGCCCGCATGGTGGCAATGGTTTCGACCTGCAGGCGGGGTATGCCGTGGTCGGTGCCATAGAACTCCCCGTGGGGACTGGCGATGTAGTGCTGGTTGGTGAGGGGAGTCCCACCCGAGAGGTACTCGATCTGCAGGGGGACAGGGACAGGGTGGTCTGCAGGGGCAGCAGGACAGGGGGCCACTGCAGGAACTGGGTGTGGGGGCTAAGGGCTGGGACAGGTTTCCTCGCAGACCCTGGGGTGGTGGATCTGGTCAGGTTTTGTCACAGGATTGTTCTGGAGGACCATCCTGCGATGGTCATGCAGGTCTGCCCAGGGTGAATGGGGCTTGGAGAAACCTGGTCCAGTGGCAGATGTCCCTGCTCATGACGGAGTGGAACTGGATGAGCTTTACGTTCTTTTCCAACCCAAACCATTCCATGACTCCATGGCCATTGAGTAGGTAGAGGGGACCCGGAGAGGAGTTGGAGGAGGACCCCTGAACCCTGTGTTTCCTCACCCGGCCCTCAATGCGAGGGTAGAGCTTGAAGACAGTCTGCATGATAGCATCCACAAAAGTCTTCTTCAGGTCCTCATAGTCATCCCCCCGCTTGTGGACCTGCTTGTCCTTCCACTCCTCGAACCACTCATACCTGGCGAAGGTGACAATGGCCAGCGTGGATTTACCTGCAGGAGGACAAGGCTGGGGTGTTCGTCCCTTTGCCCACCCTGTCGCTGCCCCAAACCCTCCCTATCCAAACCCAGGAGATGTCCTCAGATCTTTGGGGTTCCATGTCCTTCATCCAGGTATCCCAAAGACGGCATTCCATGAGCTCTACACTCAGCAGCTTTGGATAGCTGAGTAGAAACTCATTGTTTGGGATCACCAAACCCCAGCAAGAGGTTTGAAGCCACTTACAAGCATTTGGGTGTCAGCTTTACCTGGGTGCCTCATTTGCCAGGTGGGGTCCTTGGCTGATGGCGAGGTGACAAAGAGGAGAGGGATGTTGTTGGCAGCTTCTTCTCTGGATGAAGCCAGGTAGCGCTTCATGCTGCATAAGAGGGAAGGGCTGAGCTGGAGTTCAGCGTGCACCTTCCCCAGAATTCTCCTTACGGCCAAATCCCCATTTTCTGAGTCACTGCCCAGGAATTAATCTCCTTATGCTCAATGAAGCACATCCAAGGTGAAGCCAAACCTACATTCCATCCAGATCGCTCCCTGGGAACATGAAGTAGTTGATGGGTTCCAGCCCCAACTCTTCCCTCGAGCCGTTGAGGCCAACGAAGACAGTGAAACCCCCCTCACCGGGGGTCACCATGCGGAGCTGGGACTGGATCTCTGCAGTGTGGAGGGAATAAGGGGAATTAGGGGGAAATGAGGTTTTTCTGAGATTTTCAGATACAAAGAAGTGGTTTCTCCAATCCTGGTCCTTTCCCACCAAACCCTGACCCTTCCCACCCACACAACCATCCCCCTTCCACCCCCTTCCACCCCCTTCCATCTAACTGTGCCCCTTCCCAAGCACCTCTGTCCCCTTCCACCCACCCACCCAGAAGATTTTCTGGCAATCCAACTTCAAGTGGACATTCCATCAACTTCCACAAATTTTGGGGTCCTGCACTGTTTTTTTTATGAAATCCTGACAACCCAGGACTTTGCAAACTACAGTCAATTTGGGCCAATTAATTCAAGGTTAATAAAACGCCTGTGAAGAAATGAGCGGCCATTGCTGGGTTTTGAGGGCTGTGGCACAGGAGCAACAGGGGCTTTGCCAGTGCTAATTGATAAATCCGCTTTCCATGCGGCTCAGGATGGGATTAATGCCACAACCCCGCCGGAGCCCAGCGCTGACGTGGTACCCGGCAGAGCCCGCGCCTCCGCCGGCAGCAGCCTCTCATAGGTGTTGAAGATCCCAGCATCCGAAATGATCACGGGAGCAAAGATATCCACCGAATCTTGGCCTTTTTTGACGCTCACGCCTGGGAGGGAAAATCCAGACGGAGAAGAATGAGGTGCTGGTGAGAGGAACCCCACTTTGGGGAGCAGCCCCACACCCTGTCCCAGGCTGGGGCTCACCGCAGGCTCTGCCCTGGGTGTCCAGCAGGATCCTCTGCACCGGTGCCTTCCCAAACACATTGCCTCCAGCCTTCCGGATCACAGGAATGGTGTGGAAGGCAATTTCCCCAGCCCCACCCTTGGGGTACGAGGCACCATGGAGGAAGTGGTTCACTAGGATGCTGTGCATGGAGAAGCTGGCCTTGGAGGGGAGCACACCTGGGAAAAGAGGCAGTCGAGGTGGGTTTGAGCAAATCATGGGTTTGGAGCTTATCCTAAGTATTTTAGGATGAGGAACACCCTGGACATGACACTGAGGGGAAGGTGAGGAACCTGAAGGAGTAGCAAGGACATCAGGTGTGGGTGTCCCAATGGCAAAGCCCGTGATCATCAACCTGACCAAGTCATGGGGAGCTGTGAGCAAAGCCCAGGCAATGGGGTGGAGGGAAGGGGAAGGCTCAGGAACATTCCCTTGCACAGGAAGGATGTCACCCCATGGGGAAGATGAAGAATGCAGAGGGAAAGAGATGGAGATGAGCAGTGGGGACATGTCACCTGCCAGTGACTTGGGGACAAGGATGCTGACAAAGCATCCACCACAGCATCCCTGCAAACCCTCCAAAAGGTAAAAAAGGGGTTCTTACCTTTTGTTCTGTTTCTAAAGGGTTTAACGTCATCCCAGGGCCTCTTGGTCACCTACCGTAAGTGGGGAACATGTAGCTGAGGACAGCCCGGAGCTCAGGGTTGGGGGTGAGACCATCCACCACCTCCTTGAGGCTGCGTGAGGCCAGATGGGAAAAGGAGCAGAGACGTGGGAGCAGCCTGGAGCGGATCAGGAGCCCAGTCAGGAACCGCGGGAGCATCTTCAGGATCCCCAGCAGCACAACCCCGCGGCCAGCACTCTGTGGGGAGAGCCAGGGGCTCAGACACGCCCCAAAGATGCTCCAAAGCATTTTTTCCCTTTAAATTCACTGCCAGGCATCCTGGGGGGCCGTGGGCAAGGGGAGTACTGGCTCCCTCAAAAAGCTTCCCTTAAAAAGCTTCCTTTAAGAAATGCTTCCCCAAAAAAGTTCCTAAAAAAAATGGTTCTTCAAAATAACTTCCTTAAAGAACTCTGCCCCAGCTCCTTAAAGAACTTCTTCGTTGTAGGAATCTCCCCCAAAACACCTTTGATGCTGCATTTTTGAGGCAGAAAGGGACAATCTCACATGTGTTTCCCAAAGCTTTTGGGGTGATGCCGTTATTCCCTGTGGGTGCCCAGTATCCAGGTGCCAGGGGCTTCCCCTCCTTATGTGACTCCCCAAATCCAAACTCCCCTCGTTTTATCCCACCCAGATCCGCCTCTACCTTCACCAATCGCTGGAACTCATCGATGGCTGCCACCTCCCCAGGGAACTGCTCCTTCAGCCTCTGGAAATACTCCCTCTTCCCAGAATGGATGTGGAAGGTCTTGCCAGTACCCTGGGGGTCCCCCAAAACCACGGCATCGTAGGTGGCCGGGAGCGGGGACCACTCCAGCTGCCCATCTGTCAGCTGGTCCACCAGGAATCGCATCAAGGAGCCCTCCTCCATCTGCCCCACATAGTGGATCCCTAAAACAGACATTTCTTCCTTTATTTTCCTCTTTTTTCCTTTATTTTCACGGTTTTTTTTCCTTTATTTTCCCACCCCAGGACACACCAAACCCACCTCTTACTTATCCATCCCCACCCCATCAGCTCCATGTGAAAAGGGAAAATATGGGACATGCGTGCCTCCAAACTGGGGTGAATGGCACCGACCATAGTGGTTTTTGCTGGTAATTTTGGCATTTTGTTACATTTTGCTATTCATCTCTGCTGTAAATAATTAATCCCGGAGATTCGGGGACATGCAGAACCAGGCTTTATCTTGCCACAAGTTTACCAGCAAGATGTGTCCTGAGGTGACATCCCCCATGCTGGGAATTTCATAGGGGCTGGATATGGGGAATTTGAGGGGTTTGATATCCTACACGCAGAGGATTTTGGGGGTGAAGAGCAGGAAAATGGTTTGTCTAATGCAAGGTGTGTGCTGGGGAGCCCTGGTCCTCACCCCAATGGGTGCGATTCCCACTCTGAGGGTATCCCATGCCCCTCCCTTGAACCTGGGGGGAATTTGAGGAATCGTACCAGTGTCAAACTCAAAGCCTTTCTCGGTGAAAGTGTGGCAGCATCCCCCCAGTTTCCCGTGCTGCTCCAGCACCAGCACGCGCCAGCCAGCCTTAGCCAGCAGCGCAGCAGCCGCCAGGCCACCGATGCCGCTGCCCACCACGATGGCATCGAGCTTCTGGGGCACCTTCTCTGCCGAGAACACTGCGGGGAAAGGGGGGCGTCACTGAGGGGAGCACCCCACAGCACGGAGGACCCCCGAAATCACGGTGAGGAGGTGGCACCGCGGGGGTGACACTGGGGGGTGGCAATGTCACTCCGGGGGGCTAATGAATGCTGTCGCAGGTGGAGATGCTGTCCTGGGGGGCAAAGAAACCCTGGGCTGTTGATGCCACCCCGGGGTTTAATCCCGCCGGGTGGGTTGATGCCCCTGGGGGTCCCGTACCTGTCTTGACGACAGTCCTGCGCACAGCCTTGTCGGTGACGAGTGGGGCGGGCGGGCGCCGGGTGTCGGTGGCGAAGGGGTTGCGGCTGCCCGGGACCCGCGGGAGCAGGAGGAAGAGGAGGGGGAGGAGGACGACGAGGAGGAGGAGAAGGGGGGCGAGGAAGAGCAGCGCCTGCAACCACATGGTGCTGCGCCCTCCGGCTGTGGGAGCCCCGCGCTGCCCCGCGGAGCCGAGAACAGCGGCGAGACCTGCGAGGACAGCAGGAACAGTCACAGAGGGGACGGGGTGGTGGCTCCGGCACTGGGCGGGGGGACCGCGGGGAGGAGCGGGGGCGGGCACTGGGAGCTGGGACTGAGCACTGGGAACGGGCACTGCAATTCTCGGGGCTGGAAACAGGAAATAGGAAGCAGGCACTGGGTACTGGGAGCTGGGACTGCGAAGTGGCATTGGGCACCGGCAGCTGGTCCTGGACACTGGGAGTTGGGCCTAGGCACTGCGATTCTGGGAGCTAGAAACAGGAAATAGGAAGCAGGCACTGGGAGCCGGGACTGGGACCTGGCACTGCTATAGTGGGAGCTGGCAGTGGCATACTGGGAGCTGGGACTGGGAAGTGTCACTGGGCACTGGGAGGTGGGACTGTGCAGTGAGAGCTGACACTGGGCACCAGGAGCTGGCACTGGGAGCTGGCGACAGCGGGAGTTGGCACTGGGATAATGGGAGCTGGGACTGGCATACTGGGAGCTGGGAACTGAAACGGGGCGCTGGCAAGCTGGCACTCGGTGCTGGGACTGGTCGCCCCGGTGCAGATCCCGGAAGCCCCGAGTCCCGCTCCGGACACCGGCCCTGTTCCATCTCCGCCGCTTGGGCCCCGCCCCGCCCACCAGGGCCCGCCCACCAGGGCCCGCCCCGCCCACCGGGCCCTGCCCCCTCCGTGATGACGCTCGCGCGCCTGCGGCACCGCGTCGCGTGGTGCACTGGGAACTGTAGTCCCTCGTTCTCTTCCTAGCGGACGGAGGTGCGGACTACAGCTCCCGGCGTGCAACCCGGCTGCTCTTGGGCAGTGTGGCGGCCTGAGACTGAGGGAACCTGAAGGGTCCGAGGGGCTGAGCAGGGGCTGGAACGGGCTCCTGAGGGGTTGGGGCATGCTGAGAGAAGCAGAAGGCTCCTGAGGGATTGGGAGGCCCTGGGAGGCTGGAAGATGCTGAGGGCAGCAGGAGGCTCCTGAGGGGTTGAGGGATGCTGAGGGACAGGGGGACCCTGAGCCAGTTGGGAGATTCCCGAGGGGTGAAGGGGGCCTGAGAAGAGCTCCTGAGGGGTGAGGGTGCTAAGGGCTTCAAGACAGGGGAGGCCTGAGTGGCACAGGGGTGTTCCTGAGGGTTCTGGGGGTGTCAGTCGCCGGGACACCCTCATTCCCACCACCTGATCCCCTCCTTACCCGCAGGCCATGAGCGGCACCGGGGACTCGGAGCGGCCGGAGGAGCGTCTGGAGCAGCGGCAGCGCGTTGTCCCCCCGGCAAGTCCCCGCCCGTGCGTGTCTGGCCGGAGTTCCCCCAGCCGACGCCCGCGGGGCCCCTCACTTCAGGGTTTCTGGCCGCCCACTTCACCTCATTGTTCGGTTTCTACCGTTACAGCCGCATAAAATAATCTTGAGGGTGCAGACCCTTCTGAAGGGGCCTGACGCACTTTCCCGCGGGGTACAAGAGCTGTTCCCTGGGGGAAAAGCTTGGAATTCGAGGTCGGTTGGTGTTTGGGGTCTGTCGCAGAGGGTGACACTGTGTACCCTCTGTCTCCCTCAGATTCCAGCTCTGGGGCCGGAAGGTGTCCTGCAGGAGCTGCTGCTCGGAGCGGGGCAGTCCCCAGACCCTGGTGAGCTTTTCCTGCTTCCTTTGGATCGATCGTGGTGTTTCCTGGTGTGGAAGTCACCTGCGGGCCTCGGAGGGACTCCAGGGATCAAGTAGAGGGGGTGTCTCAGTCAAATCTGTCTGGTTCGAGATTATTCCCCAAATTCACCCAAGATAAACTTTGTGGTGCCCTGGCTGGCTCCGGTTGGGATTTTCCTTGGAAAAGAGGAAATCCAGCCCCAGGGTGTGCTGAGCGGTGTTGGGGAAGGGAGGAAGGCCCCCACTCTGTGTCTGCCGCCCAGATCTGACCCTTCTCTTGGGCAGGGATCAGCGAGGAGCAGCGGCAGGCCCGGGAGGAATGGGAGGCTCTGGAAGAGATCCAGTCAGGTACTGAGACTAACAGGGTCCTGGCAGCTGGAAAAGTCCAGGAAGGGGGAAAGGAGCTGTGTCTTGGAAGGCAGAATGGGTGGGAGACAAGCTGGGGTGTTATATGCGGGGGACGGGAGGTTCCATTTTCCCCTTGTTCCCCACGGCTTCATTCTTCTGGAATCAGGGATCAGTCGTGAGGGGGAGTCAGGACTCAGTGAGGGTCTGACCCAGTCCCTGCCTCCCTGCAGGGTTGGGAGGCACCTCAGGAGTATCTCCCCCTCCGATTTCCTTCACTGAGGCGCTGCAGCACTTCCAGAGCGCGGAGCTCTCCGGGAGCCGGGTACGGCCGGGCTCCGGCTCCCGCTCCTTACTGGGGGTGTAGGAAGTAGGAGTGGGGGGGCACCAGCCCCTCCCCCTCCTCTGGCCACGCTCCCTGAGGGCTTTGGGCTGTTTCTCCTGCAGGGGAAGGTCCGGGCGCCGCGGCGCCGGGGCGTTCTGGCTGCTCTGCTCCGCTGCCTCCGCCGGCCCCACCGACTCCAGCCGCAGCTCCGGGAAGAGCAGGAGCTGGCGCTGGCCATGGCACACTGTGAGTGGGCCCGGGGTCCCCTTTGTGCCTTGCTGGATCTCGTCCCTGCTCCCTACGGACACAGCTCCAGGCGGGAGCCCTCTGTCTCCACGGCCCTTATGCCCCTCAGTCCAGGGGCAAATGGGGTGGGAATCACCTTGTCCCTTGGTGTGCGGGAGTCGCACACACGTAGAAACCCTGGGCCTGTGGGTCTGGGGGCGGAGTGGCCTTTTCTGGGCAGCGAGGGGATTTCTAAGATACCGAGCTGTGGTTTTTAGGTGCTGTGAGGGCATTTTTGGAGGGTGTGGGTTTGGGCACTGAGGGATGTTCTTCTGGGCACTGTGGGTTTTTTAGGGTGTTGAGGGGTTAGTTTGGGGTCTTTTGAGCGCCAAGAGGGCAACTTTTGGGTGCTGAGGGGTGCTTTTAAGGGATTTTTAGGGGAGCGTGGGTTTGGCTGATGAGGATTTTACAGTGCCAAGGAGCATTTTTAGGTAACAAGGGGGATTTTTAGAGGATGTGAGGTTGTTTTTTTAAGTGCCAAGTAATGTTTTTGGGGACTGAGGGGTGTTCTTGGGGCACTGAGGGACGTTTTGTAAACCCCAAGAGTGTTTTCAGCAAGCTGGGTGTTGGCTCCCTCCCTGCAGGTGCCCTGGATGACTCAGAGTGGGTGCACATGCGGATCCTGCAGACCATCTACCAGCAGCTGACACGCTCCAAGCTGGGCTGCCCACGCTACGGAGCACACTGGGAGGAGCTGGGCTTCCAGGGTAGGAGAGGAAGCAACCCTTTGCCTGGGGAAATCCCCAGGCCCATTCCCAAAATCCATTCAAACCTCCCCTGGAGCAACTGTGTTCTATCCCAGCTCCCTCAGCTACTCCCTGTGCTCCAGACCCAGCTCCACTGGCCTCCCTCAGACATGCTCCAGAACCTCAATGTCTTTTTTGGACCCCAAACCTGATCCCAGGTTTTGATCACCCCAGTCCTCCTACTCCTCTCCATATCCCTACAAAATTCCCAAGGGCATTCTCAATCCCTTTATCCTATATAAGAATTAAACCAAACTGGCCCCGATACAACATTCATGGCTGACTGGGTCATCCCAGTACCATGTTCCTAAAAAAGCTGGTCATTCCTGGAAAAATGTGGGAATAGGAGGAGTGGACTGGAGCAGGGGCTGGTTAATGCCCAGAAGAGTGAGGTGATGGCCCCATTAGGGAAACGGCCCGAAAGCTTTCCCTTAGAAAAGGGAATCCCTAGGATTCTTGGACTCTGGAAGTGCAGTGACAGGGAATAAACAGCCCATGGAAGTGGGAAGATGACAGGAAGTGACTCCATGCTGTTGCTCACCTTCCCAGGTGCAGATCCCGGGACTGACCTGCGTGGGACGGGAATGCTGGGGCTGATGCAGATTCTGTTCTTTGTCCTGGATTCCCGGATGCTGCCGCTGGCACGGGAGATTTTCCAGCTCTCCCAGCATGAAACCCAGGCATGACCTTCCCCCTCCTTCCTCCTGGGGGTTTCCTTTCGAATTCCCAATGCTCTGGGAAAGGGAAGAACAAAAACCTTCTCTTCTGAGTTTTTTTTTTTTTTGAATGCTTGTGAGGGGAAGAAGGTGATGCCCAAGAGCCCTGATCCAGGCTGGAGCTGAGCTCCAAGTGCTGTATTTATGCTGGGAATGGGATTTTAGAGATTGATACTGGTTTGGAGTGGGATAAACAGGCTGGAGAGTTGGGCAGCAGGAAAATGAGTGAGTGGAGCCTGTCTTCCTAAATTCCACATTTTAGTCTGGGTTTAAGTCATGAGTACAAGATGGGCTCGACTTTCAGCATCCATCCAAGCCTGGATCTGTAGGGCTGTTATCCCAGTGCATGGATCCATCCCATGGAGTTGTGGATGTATGAATGCAGTGTCAAAGGGCTGGAGGTGCCAGAGGTGAGGAGAGTTTTCCAACTGAGCTTCCATAACACTGGAATTCTGGTTGTTTTCCAGAATTTTCCCTTCTGCATCATGTCTGTGAACATCACCCGGATTGTCATCCAGGCACTGCAGGAGGAGCGGCTCTCCCGGTGAGGGGGGTTGGTTTTGGAGTCTCCAGCTGCATCCCAGGTCCTTACCCTTCCCAGAAGGTGGCTGAGCCCTCTCTTGTTGTAATAATAATTAGACAGGACTCCATTTCTTCATGCAGAAAAGCCAATTCTTTATTCATATAGCTCATTTTATATAGTTTTCACAGACCTCATGTGTAACTCCAATTGGCTAGTAGTTTTCTTGTTAATCAATTTATTGGTTAAAAAGTGCTTATGTGTGTACATGGTAAGACTCTCCATCTACAAGTGTTTACATATTTCTTTAGTGGATTCTGGCGGGACAGATCTATTATTTATGCAGGTCAATTATGCAAATTATTTTTCTCTCAAGAATAG